CTTCTCTTCTCTTCTCTTCTCTTCTCTTCTCTTCTCTTCTCTTCTCTTCTCTTCTCTTCTCTTCTCTTCTCTTCTCTTCCCTTCTTTCTTTTCCTTCCCTTCCCTCATCTTGGTTGGTAATTTTAGGCTCTAGGCTAAAAAGAAATAATGATAGTCCTGGAAAAGGAACTGGCTTCTATACAAACCCTGGAGTGGAGCTGGACCAACCACATGTCCGTTCCTTGGCATGGAACCTGGACACCTTGACGCAATGTAGTTACTCTTGGGAAAGGGAGGGAGTAGACTGATGCTCTTCTGGGGGAGTATTGCATGTATTAGACCTCACTGAGACCTCAGGTGGAGAATGAAGGGCATTGGGATGAGCATCTGTCAAAAGAAAATGCATTGTGCCACCCTTCTGCCTAGTGCTTTGTAGATTATTTCCCTCTCACAGGAGAAATCGGTGATGTGAAGCTCAAACATGTGCTCATTTCATGCTCTGTGTAGCAGCTCCAGAGTGGAATGGGACAGGGAGGATGGGAGATGATGCCACAAGCCATGAGCCTTGCTCTCCAGAGTTTGCTCGCGGGGCAAGACTTCATTTAGTGCAGGGGAAAAGCAAGCTCCCATGCAGCTTGCCATGTCTCCATAGGAACAAAAACACTTGGAAAACATGGACAATGCACTCTCCTCCAAGCAGAGCAGTTCATGCCAGAAGGTAAAGAATACAGCTCTGAGGAAAAGCCTTCTACCCTGGTGTGGGATGCTCTTCTCCCACTGCTCAGCACAGCACTGCTGGCACCTCTCCACTACTGCCAAACTGTGTCTGCAGCGTGGCCCAGGGCTGGACTGCCAAATACATCCAGGCTGGCTCAGGAATGCCCTAAAGCAGCAGGAAAGTTGATGGATGCTGCAGAGAGATGCAATGGGGCTTAGAAATTCATAGCCCATGGACGACCCTGGCACAGTCCTCAATCCCTGGGAAAACAGTGCTTTTCCTGCTCCCACTCCTGAGCAGGAAAGCTGAATCTTTGATGGAGGAAGCACAGGGAGTTTACCAAACAAATTGTGTGTACATGCACACTCATACCCCACACTTTGGAAAATGCTCTTCAAAGGCATTCTCTGTGGAATATCTCCTACCCACAATGTCCTTGGAAATTGCCCCTCTGCCTGAAGAGTTTGCAAACAATAATGACTGGCCCTTGTTCAAAACACTAGCCATAGCTGGTGGGAGATGGTTTACCACAAGGCAGTCAGCAGAGCAGTCTATCACAATTCAGATGTGGCTTGATCAAATTCAAGGCAGTATAAGATGTGGAACAGATTACAGGCTGGATCACATAAGCCACAAACCACATTAAAACTGTAGGGACAACAATAGATATTCTGCTCTCACACTTAAACACGATCCTGAATGAAAGAATTTCCCTTGCCTTCAGCCCTTCCTCCCCTAAAGCAGGATTTCTGTCTCCAGAAAATGCCATCCAGTTGCATAAAGAGCCTCGGGAACTCTGAGTATCTTTGCATAACAATGTCACGTCAAACAAATTCCTGCCTGCTCCTTGTCTACCACCTGATGTATTGTGCCCCAAAATGGTTTTGACTACCTGCCACCTCAGCAACACCCTTTGGCTATGAAGGTAGCAATTGCAGAGGCAGCTGTGAAAATGAAAAGTAAAATTGGGTGGGAAAAGGAGGGGAAAACCCAACTGGTCGGCACTGATTTGCTGGGAGGATGTATGGAAGAGCAAGGCCAGCTGGGGATAGGTTTTGTCCTCCTCTTCCCAAATGAGAGATGATGTCTCTCAAGTGCCATACAAATGAGCAGTGGTGTGGAAGGGCTTTCTAATCATTAGTGATTGTTAATCAGCTCATTAACAGCGATGGTCAGCATTTTGTAAAGAGGCGTGATTTGCTTTCCTCCAGAGAGTAGAGCCCTCTCTTGCTGCAGCTCTACCCTTAGCTGTGGATGTGTGTGTGTAGGGGCAGAAGGAGGAAATAGAGGGTTTTTTGATACCCAAGGCCTGATGCTGAGCCACCATTTTGGTTCTGGCAGCCCCCACATCCCCATGGGTGCTGTGTTGGGTCCCCGGGAGATAGGGAATCAGTGCTCCCCAGGATGTCTGGAGCAGATGTAATTAAAGCCTTCCCTGCCTGCCACAGAGCATATGGGACATGTTAGCAGAGTAATTAAATTTTGTGAAGTGAGTCTTTGCTGGAAAGCTGGAGGGTGGGTCGGTGGGAGGCAGGGGGAGCAGCAGCACTGCCATACGCCTGCCTTCGGGAGGGAGCGCTCGGCCTCTCGCCACCGCCGGTCCTCACTCCAAATTGCTCCTCGTGTGACAAGTTGAGAAAATAATTAAGTGGTGGCTCATTTGCATTATTTGTTGAGTTTGTACATATTAAAAATACTGAGGAAACTAGTCAAGCTGTACAGATGTTGCAGATGAAATAGATGTGTGTGTTAGGGACTTCTGAGCAGAAAGGAAGATGTGGGGGGCAGGGGAGCAGAGAGGGCTGAGAAGAGGGAATGGGGAGGACAGAAAATCTGGTTCTTGCAGACATGGGTAAAATACATGTAGTGCACAGTAAATCTGCCAGTTAATGGAGTTACAGGAGGATGGAAACTGCTCGTGAATTGGAGACCCTGTGGGTCACTGGTGAGGGATGAAGGGAGGGAGGGTCACAGAGGCTGGAAGAGTTAGTTTGCAGGTTTCAGGATGGGTTGTGTCTTTGTTTTACCAGGTGAAACTTTCTGAGACAAGCTTATGCATCATACTGTTTTCCTTGGTCCAGATCTTTTGGTTTCACCTATTGAAGCTGGTATTCACCCCACATTGTGTTTATGGAGCTCTTACAAAGGAGCCAGTTCTCATAAACACCCAGTTTCCAGCAGTGATGATTGTGGAGGTTACTAATACATGGAATGGGTTTATCTCTTCCTCTGAACACATCTACAATGACCTACCCTCTCTCTGTTCAAGATTCTCATAGAGTAAATTGTGGATTGGGAAGGCTGGGAAGTGGTGACTGACCACTGACCTCTCTGGAATGGTTGCTGAAATGAAGTTTTCACTTGGGGCAGTGGTGAGGGGAGCGGGTAGGTTTGCTCCTGTCCTGGTGGGCCATGGTGTTCCTTGTTCAGAGCAAGCTTGTGGCAGCTTTTGAA